ATTGACCAAGGGAAAGTTGGGTACAAGTACAAACCCTAGAAAGTCGTACCCCATATGTGCTACCCCACTATAGCCTACAACAGCTATGTCATATAAATCTGACACACCCCCATAGGCAAAGTGGGGGAGAACAAGGGGTCACAAGACCAGTCAAGCAAAGCAAAGCAAGCTCAGGGTGTAGCACAAAGTCACCACACATTCCGAGCACAAGTTCAAGGCCACAAGGCCAGTTCACATGCAGGAATACACATATATATATAAGGCTAGACAAGCAAGAGCAGGTGTATATATACATGTAACAGTACAAACAAGGTCAAGTGGTGAGCAAGTGAGGCAAGGCAGGCACAAGACCCAGCTGAGTACAGAAGCGTTGATGATCACAAGGCGCAAGCGCCTTGGTGAAGATATCAACAGTGTTGGCCTCAGAGGCCACGTACGCAAGGCGCAGCTGGCCACGCTGCTGTAGCTCACGAGCAAGGAAGTAGCGAAGAGCAATGTGCTTCGTTCTATGCTCAAGTCTCTGCTCCCGACACAAGGCTAGCATGGCCTTGTTGTCTACGTACAGCACTGGAGGAGAACGAGGCGGCTCTCCGAGGTCAGTCAGCAGGTAGGTGAGCCAGCGAAGCTCCTGTGCAGCCATGGCTCCTGCGTAGATCTCAGCCTCACAACTGGAGCCGAGAACAGAAGACGAGCGGATAGCCCGCCACGAAACAGAGCCGGAACCAAGGCTGAAGGTGTAACCCTGTGACGACCCCTGCGTAGCCTGGTCGTCAGCCCAAGAAGCGTCTGCGTGCCCAGTGAGGACCACTGGACTCTGCCCTCCAAGCACAAGCCCCATGCCCGACGTACTGCACAAGTAGCGCAACACCCTCTTCGCTGCAGCCATGTGCTCTGGTCTGTGTCTCCCAGGAGCAACATAGCGTGCCAAGATGCTAAGAGGGTATGCAAGGTCAGGTCGTGTGCAGGTCATCAGGTACATGAGGCAGCCAACAAGCTCTGGGTACGGGCCACTCGGCTCTACGGACTCATCCGAAGGCAGAGCTGAGAGCGAGTGGCGAGTAGGCAGAGGAGTGGCCTGAGGCGAGGAGTACGCGAAGCCGAAGCGCTGAAGGACCTGCCGCACCATGTGTGACTGAGTTAGGGTAATGGTGCGGCGTGCTCTGTCCCCGGTGATTTGCAGGCCAAGGTAGCTGCGCAGTTCACCCAGGTCTGTGCACGTGTGTCTCTTCTGCAGCTTGGACTTCACGCGGGCGAGTCCCGCAGTGTCAGCTGTGGCAAAGACCAAGTCGTCGACGTACACGAGGATGTAGAACGGCGGCAAAGAAGTGTCGGTGCGCAGAAACAGCGACAGGTCGGCAGTAGAGGGAGCAAACCCAAGAGCCGCAAGTGTAGTCCTCAGTGTGTCGTGCCACTCACGCGGTGCCTGGCGGAGACCGTAGACTGGCCACCGGAGGCTCCACTGGGTACCAGGAGGAAAAGACCCTGTGAAGCCAGGTGGGCGACGCAGCCACATCTCTTCGTGCAGGCTGCCCTGCAAGAAAGCAGTGCTGAAGTCAAGAGAGTGCAGCTCGTAGTCACGGTGAGCAGCTATGTGCAGCAGTACCCGAAGAATGGTCATCTTCGGGGTGGGAGAGAAGGTCTGAAAGTAGTCAACTCCCTGCCGCTGACTGAAGCCACGAGCCACGTAACGCGCCTTGAAGACAGACGGAGAACCCGGCGGCCGCTTCACCCTGAAAATCCACATGCCACTGACGATGTTCGCCCTAGGCGGGGGAACCTCGTCAACGTAGGTGCCTGTGGACTTCCAGGAAGCCATCTTTGTCTCCATAGCTACCTGCCACTGAGAGGAGTAGGGACCCTCTATCGCCTCCGCGTAAAAGCGCGGAGTCGGGATGTCAAGTGCATCCGGATCTCCCTCAGGGGTAAGCAGTACGGACACGAGATGAGGTGAAGCAGCAGCCAAACACTGGAACTCCTCCTGCCTGTCCTCAAGGACGTCCGTGCTAAGGGCACACTCACCCCCGACGGACGGAGGACAGACAGACTCAGACTCAGCGACAAGACTAGCAGCGTAGTCTAGACGACAGCGAGCAGCAAAGTCGACGAGCTCAGCAACTAGGGCAGATGCAGCAGTGGACTCAAAGGAAGGGTCAGTGACGAAAGTAGCAAGGAGACGCGTTACAGTAGGACTGGCAGCACGAAGAGAGTCCGACTCCGGGTCGGCAAGAGCAGGAAGAGAGGACTAAGGAGGAGAAGGCAAAGGGGCACGCAGAGGAGCAGTGGACGGACGCAGAGACATCCGGTGCGTGCCAGGGACAGGAGGAGGACGCTGACGCGAACCACGACCACTAGTGCGAGCAGGACGGACAGGCGACGCAGGGCGAGACGCAGGCTCACGACGCTTAGTAAGACCTCCAGTAGGACCAGTGTAAGGAGAAGGAGCAGGCAGTGGGGAGGCCGGCGATAACTGTAACTGTGACGGGACAAGCTGTGGACACTCTAAGGGAGGAGGAGGACCAGTAGAAGGCGGAAGACCAAGAACCTGCTGAAGGAGCGGAACGAAGTACGGTCGAGGCCTCGCGGCGACTCCAGACACAGCAGGGACAGCACCAGTACCCCCAGTGGTAGCACCACTGCCAGCAGCACCTCCAGCTCCAGCACCCCCAGTAGCTCCAGTACCTCCAGGACCTCCAGCAGTACGAGAAGCACCCCAAGCAGGACCGCCTCCAGGACCGACAGTAGTAGCCTCAGCGCCAACACCCTCAGCAGCTCCAGCTCCAGTCGTACCCGCAGGCCCAGCAGCTCCAGTACTCCCAGTACGAGCACCTCCGGGACCCGCGACACCAGCACCCTCACTAGCCGAAGAACCTCCAGCTCCAGCAGCTCGCCTCCAGCGCCGGGCAAACCACTCGCGCAGCTCCTGTGGAGAGAGTGGCTCCCGCCGAGACGAAGCACCCGGAGAACCTCCAGGCACAGTACCGCCAGACGCGACACGAGCAGGCCCAGCTCCCTCAGGCTCAGCACCTCTAGGCGTAGCACCCCCAGGCTCAACACCCCCAGTCGTAGCACCCCCAGGCTCAGCACCCCCAGGCGTAGCACCCCCAGGCTCAGCACCCCCTGGCTCAGCACCCCCAGTAGTAGCACCCTCAGGCTCAGCACCCCCAGGCGTAGCACCCACACGCTCAGCACCCCCAGAGTCAGCACCCCCAGGTTCAGCACCCTCAGCAGCACCAGAGTCACCAGCAACCTCGACAGGCTCGACTACGTCTACTTGGGACACACCGGAAGGGGCAGGACCCTGAGGGGGGAGGGGGTCTACCAGGGGGGGGACCTGGCACAAGGAAGAGCGGTGGCGGGGGGAGGGACGGAGTGCGGTAGGGGAAGAGGCGGTAGTAGGGGACCGACTCGTCAAACGTGACGTCCTGGGAGGACAGAACACGGCGAGAGGTGGGGTGGTAGAACTGCCACCCTGGCGCGTCAGGGGGGAAGCCAAGGAAGACACAAGGAGTAGCACGAGGGGACAGCTTGTCCGCAGACAAGTCGCGGACAAACGCCCGAGATCCCCAGACACGGAACGCAGACGCATCGCCAACCTTCCCCATCTACAGCAAAGCTGGGGAGGTCTCCGGCATGGAGACCCTGGGCTGAAGGTTGATCTGATGCGCCGCGTACCGAACCGCAAACGGCCACAGAAAATGGGGGGCAGCCGCATGCATCATGGACGTACAGGCGACGTCCATGACCATGCCAATGCGGCGCTCAGCAATCCCATTTTGCTGTGGAGAGTCCGGAAGCGTGAAGGTCTGGCGGATGCCTCGTGCACGACAGTAGGCTCGCAGAAAGCCAGAGGAGAACTCTCCGCCTTTGTCAGAGTGCAGACGCAGAACAGGAAAACCCGAGCCGACGCTCTGCCTGAGTTGGAGACGAGCTGCGCGGATCCAGTCGATCAACACCTCAGTGACATCACCCTTGCTGCGCAAGGGGAAGACTCTGGTGTAACGCGAGTAGTCGTCAACCACCAGCAGGAAGTAGCGCTCGTGACCCTGTCCACGGACACGGGCTGGGCCCCACACGTCCATGTGAAGCGTATGCAGCGGAGCCTCTGTCGGAGGAAACTAGGAGGAGTGAGGGGCAGCACGCTGCCGCCCCTCGACGCAGGGGACGCAGGCAGGGGCAGGCCCCGGGGGAAGGGGAGGGAGGGACCGGGGAAGACCAGAGACAAGGACACGGGAGGCCATGCCTCGGAGACGAAGCAGGGAGGGGTGACCAAGGCGGTGGTGCCAGAGGAGAGTCTCGTGAGACAGGAGGCGACACGAGCAGGGGGCAGACTCAGGACCAGACCTGGACGCTGCAGCAAACACCTGACCCGACGCAGCTACCTGACCAGACGCAGTGACAGGAGGAGACTCAGTGGTCAGTGTGTACAGGCTCGACCCCGGCCGACGTGTAAACGTTGCCAGGTGTCGGCCTATCCGAGCGTCCGTGCAGTGGGTCACCCGCTGACGAGCAGGAGTGAACTGGTGAACCCCCGCATCCTGTAGGTCAGCACCACTCACCAAGTTCGTAGAGAACGAGGGGAGGTAAAGACCAGACAGGGTGCCAGAGGGGGCCGCCGGACACGGGAGGACAGTGGAGAAGTGAGCAAGGACAGGACCCCCAGGGGTCTGCCAGAGAGACTGCAACTGGCCGACCAAGTGGCGTGAGTGTGGTGCGGTCTCGAAAGAAGGAGCGAGAAGCCCCCGAGTCAATGGTGAAGGTGTGGGAGGCCGAAGCCGACGCGGTACTAGAGAGAGCAGACTCACCAGCACCAGAGGAAGCAGACGCACTGGCACCTAGAGCAACAGCCTCGCTAGCACCTAGAGCAGCAGCCTCACCAGTACCTAGAGCAGCAGTCTCAATGCCCGGGTCGGGCGGAAAACACCGGTAACAGTCACCCTCATCACTAATAGTCACAGCCTACATGGCAGCAAGAATAGCATCAATGTCAAGGTCAAAGATAGCTACTCCCGCCCTAGACAGCTCGCCCCAGCGAGGGATCTCAGTGGCCTCAGGGAACTGGTGACGCCAAGCGTCCGTCAGGCGGCCAAAGCAGCGCTGGGTGGAGTGCGCACCCCCGCACTGCTCACCCGCGCGGTCGCCGGTGCGTAGGACATAGGTGCACGGACCAGTACCCCCACCCCGCTGACGTGCAGCGTACCACTCACGGAGCTGCTGAGGGGGGGGGATGTCACGAGTGCGCTGCTGCTGCTGGCGCTGACCACCACCGGAGCCGACCCTCTGCGCAGCGCCACCCCGACTAGCTCCGCCTCCTCCGTCGCCGCCTCCTCCTCCGCCGCCACCTCCGCCACCTCCGCCCCCACCGCCACCGCCGCCTCCGCCTCCGCCTCCACTGCTGCCACCTACACCTCCACCCCTGCCACCACTCCCACCACCACCCCCACTCCCTCCACTGCCGCCACCGCCACCTCCGCCACCCCCGCCAGCCCCTCCAGCGCACTTGCTCCCCTTGCCCTTGCCGGTGCGGCATCTCCCGCTCGGGGCAGACGTAGCGCCGACCGACTCGAAACCAACGAGGTCGGCCGCAGCAGCAGAGTCAACAGAGGGAAAAAGGGGGGAGGGGGAACACCCCTCAAAGACGGGGGTGCGAGGGTCACCACGAGAGGCTCCTACAGTGACTATGCTCTTCTTTGCCACTAGGAGGGCCTTCTCGAGGAGGTCAACGGTGAGAGTGGTGGGGCAAACTGAGAGGAAGTGGTCCCTATCTACGCGGAGAGAGTCAGGGAGCCGGGTGACTATGTAGTAGAGGGTGATGTACATGGGGGGTGGGTTCTTGGCGCAGAACTCAGCAGGAAGCGCAGCGCGGTAGCGAGTGTCACTATTGCGGAGGTGCGTAATGAGGTCAGTGACTGTGGGAAAGGCAGCAAGGTCAGGGAAGAGGTACGGTAGTATGAGGCGGCTCAGTGAAGCAGTGGCAGGGGAGGAGTAGCGTGCAACTACAGCGTCGTACAAGGTCTGAGCACTCTTGTACTGGCTAAAGTGCGCACGCTCAAAGGTAGGCAGGTGGCGACGCACAGCAAGACGTGCAGCAGCATCGCGTGTGGCCCACTGTGAGCGAACAGTGGCGTCAGCATCAGCAGCAGGGGCAGGAGAGGCACCAAAAGTGAGGTCAAAGAGGGAGAGACCGTCTGCCCTATCGCACTGTAGGAAAAGCTGCAGGTCATCTACCCAGACGTCAAAGTCAATGGCCCGACCCTCAGCGTCAAAAGCGAGGACACTAGGGGTAGCCATAACAGCAGTAGACTAGCAGCGCGAACAGTAGGGTAAGGGCAGTGCAGTGATAGAGGCGCTGCTCTTACCGGACAGGGCGGCTCGGGCGGCTCGGCGGCTCGGCGGCTCGGCAGTAAATGCAGCTCGGCGACTCGGCGGCTCTGGCGGCTCGGGCGACTCGGCGGTACGGCGGCTCGGCAGCAACTGCGGCTCGGCGACTCGATGGCTCTGGCGGCTCGGGCGGCTCGGCGGTACGGCGGCTCGGCAGCTCGGCGACCCGGCGGCTCGGGCGGCTCAGGTGGCGCGGCGGCTCGGGCGGCTCGGGTGGCTCGGGCGGCTCGGCAGTAGCTCGGCGGCGCCAGCGGCTCGGTGGTGACAGCGGGGCCGCGTGGGGACGGCGGCGGGGCCGGTAGAGGCGGCGCCGGGGCCGGGAAGGGTAGCGCCGGGGCCGCAGGGTAGGCGACGGGGCCAGCAGAGGCGGCGCCGGGGCCAGGAAGGGCGGCGCCGGGGCCGGGAAGGGCGGCGCCGGGGCCGCAGGGGTAGGCGACGGTGCCAGCAGAGGCGGCGCCGGGGTCGGGAAGGGCGGCGCCGGGGCCGCAGGGGTAGGCGACGGGGCCGCTAGGGCGGCTAGGAGGGGGGTCGCGAGGGCGGCTTGAAGAGGGCCGCGAGGGCGGCGCGAACGGGCCGCGAGGGCGGCGCGAACGGGCCGCGAGGGCGGCGCGACGCGACGGAGCCGCGAGGGCGGCGGATCGGGGCCGCGAGGGCGGCGCGACGTGATGGGGCCGCGAGGGCGACGCGACGGGGCCGCTTAGGCGGCGCGACAGGGTCGAAAGAGGGGAGCGCGACTCGGGCAGAATAGAGCGCGCTCCGGGCAGGAAAAAAGGTGGTGGGCCCTAGGAACAGTTCCCACAGGGGAACCTGCTCTGATACCATGAGAAAATGAACGAGAATGAATTGACTAAGGGAAAGTTGGGTACAAGTACAAACCCTAGAAAGTCGTACCCCATATGTGCTACCCCACTATAGCCTACAACAGCTAGGTCATATAAATCTGACATAGCAAGCCTTTCTCTGAGGAGTCAGTGTAACACAAGTTTTAAAAATGACAACTCTGGCACATGAAGAGCAAATTTGACTTCAACTCTGATGTGTACACCTTGGTTGCTGTAATGTTGCTTGAATGAATTTTCACATTTCATAGTAACATTGTACACAATCATCCTCTAGGATTGCAATCAGCCTCGCTCATCGTCGCTCACATCATCCTCACGTTCGTCGTCCGAATTTGCCTTCTCCATGCCACTGTCGCTTGTAGGTAGGTAGGGTGCTGCTGATCTTGAAGGCCGCCGCTTCTTCTACTTGCGCCAGATGTCCACAACATCTGGCCACTCCACGTGGTAGTCGAGCATGTGGATGCTCATGAGTTCGGTCAGGCGTGTGTCGTTGAGAGTCGTGCGCTGCCAGCTCTTGATGATGTTTTGGCGTGAAAAACCACGTTCGCACTCGACGGTGCTGAGTGGCAGGACGACCAACGCCTGCCACAAGGTCATGATGTTGGGGTAAGTTCGAGGCCAGTCGCGGGTCTTCAGCATGTTAGTCAGCGCCTGGAAGAAGTCCTCGTCCTCGTGGTGCGTCTTCATGATGTGACAAAAAGTTTTCAGCTCAAGTTCGGCTGCCCGCAGATCGAATCCTGCCATTAGAAAAGGCAACGGGATGCAAGTGTACGCAAAGATAAGACTTCTGTGGGACTATTTAATTCGTACAATCCTGCAAGCGTGCAACAAGATTTTAACAAGTACCTGGCAGTTGGTGGTTGAAAAGTTGCGAGTTCTCGCGAAGCCAGGTGGCGCAACGTCGCGCCCGTGTCTCCGGATTCGGCGGCCACTTGTCCACCCTGAAAAGCTTCGTGCCGCCCAGTCGACGCAGATCCCACATGCGGTGCTTGAGGTTGTACACGACCTCACGGGCGAAGGCCTTGCCCATTTTCACGCAATCTGCCACGGTACCGCCGTACTTGTGGGATTTGTCGGGCAGCTCGCTGAGCTCAATGGTGTGTTTGACTGGTCTGCCGCTAGCGTCCACACCTTCCACCTTCACCTTCTTCTCTCCTTTCTTGACACGTGCCATGAATGGCGACAAGTGGGGGCTCAGTCCCGCCCCGAAAGAGCCCTCGTTGTCGATGTAGCGGTGCTCTATGAGGGACACGACACAGTCGACCTCCTCCGAGACTTGAGTCACTTCCACCTGTGGGACAGGGCCACGCAAAACATTTGGTTCTTAGACCGGGAAGTTTATTTAAAAGGCAAGACGCAAAACACTAGTGTCAACTAGAAACATGCCTAAAATTTACCTTCCGGCGCTGGAAAAACCGATTGAGGGAGTTCAACTCCCCCAAGACATCTGCCAGGAAGTACAGGCAGAAGTGAAACTTCAGTGTCTGCACTACCGCGGCGATCTTGTGCTTGTACTCCAGGAACAGCACGATTGCCGACCCCAAAATCTTGACCAGCCGAAGGACTGCGTCGGCACGGGAGAGCCATCGCACGTCGAACAAGCCCTGGTGTTCAAGGTTGGTGCTGTGGATCACGAGTTGCAGCTCCTTGAACCTCTCGTACCAGGGCGTTGATCTCCCCACGATCTCGCCAAGGGCCCGGATGGTTTTTTCCACAATGTTGAAGTCAGTGAACTGCTCGACTGTCTCCTTCACAGCGAGTGCTTCACTGCAAGCAATAAAGGAATGCATGAAGGCGATTTTCAAATAACCGAAACCGGTCACATTTTCAAAGCGTCAAACGAATCACTTTGCTGACTAAACAGGTAACACATACCGATGCGCAATGCAGTGACACCCGACAATGTGGGGGATGCGGACGCGCAATCGTGTCACCAGTCCTGACGTGCTCCCGATCATTGTCAAAGTTTGAAGAAAGAAAGAGGATTGAACTAGCAAGAATGAGGATACAAATAGCAAACCCTAGAAGGGTTGTACTCGCTATAGAGCACCCCACTACAGGCTAGAACAATAAGATAATATTCTGACAATCATCACTGCCGCGCCATCCGTGGACATGCCCGAAATCTTCATCAAGTCGACGCCGACTGTCTCGAGATGCTGGAGTAGAGCTCCCAGCAGGGCTGCAGCATCACACTCATGGACGGTAAGTAACGCTAGAAACTCGGTAACGACGACGTTGTTCTTCAGGAACGTGGCAAACACAATCATGTGCTTGCCACGTGCACGGTCGGTACTCTCGTCGCACATGAGGCCAATGAAGGGTGAGGCGTGGAGGTGGCGCAATTGTTCTCTGGTGAGGTACACGGTGAGAGTCCGGGCCATCTCGGAAAACCCGTACCTGCACACACACAGTGCACAATTCCTTAGCATCAAGAAACACAGATGTCTCGAGCGATTAAAATCCAGATAACCACTCACTGTGTGATATACACGCCGTAGCTTTGACGCGGAATGTTGGCGACCCCCTCCTCGGCGAGAAGCTGAACTATCTGTGGGTACATGTGGATGGGCGTGTCGGTACGGCATACGAATCGCATGGCTCGCATGAGGACCGCTACGCGACAACCTTCAGGATCACCCTTTGCGAAGTCTTCGATTTTCTTTTGGTCCGCGACCTTCTGCAACAGGTTAGCCTGCTTGTTCATCGCGTCTTCGTGTTTCCCGCTGTTCTCATGCCACCGCATGGAGCCAATCTGCAGATCACGTCCACCAGCGCCATTGCGACCGTAACGTGCGTTGTCCTTCCCGTGCTCCATGCAGACACTGCAGCGCAGACACGGGTCGCCCTCGGGAGTCTTGTCCAGAATCAGCCAATCAAACTTCGGCAGCCAGTCAGACTTGTAACTCTTCTGCGCCTTGAGGTAAGCCTTCTCCTTCTTCTCCTCGTCTGAAAGGGGACGAACGGGGGGCGGGGCAGGACGGGGAGGGGGAGCAGCAGGCTTCGGCGGCGGTGTTTCCCACTGCAGAACTTGTTGCGTCATTCGTCGCTTTTTCGGCGCCATTGAGCCAGTCGACTCCAGAGTGGCCGCATCGATAACCTGTGTAGCAACCGTCGCCGCCGGCTCTGCAGCAACCTCGCGGCGCGGCGAGGCGACCCACTCCTCAATGCCTTCGGACTTTGCAGCATCAGTCATCTTGCGCGGAGATGGACACCACGCATCGTTCCCTTCCTCCATGTTGCCTGATTCCATGCGAGGCCGTCGCACCCATTCGGTACAGCCATCACCCATCGCCTCTTCATCGCGAAGGTGAGCTTGATGCACGCCGCGCAAAAACTGAAGGCCAGTCACGGGGCGTGTGCTACACGACGGCCTGTCGTCTAGATCAGCCGCGTCTCCCTCGGCGTTGCTACAGTCCATGGTCGTCGTGGCTAAAGAGAGCTACTGGGGGTGGGGCTGTGGCTGGAGAAGCCCACTGCCCAAATGCTAGACAGGTGTGTTGTGGGTCACGGCAATGGGAACAAACATAATGGGAGGAGGAATGGGGTTGGTGGTGAGTGACCGCGTCTCCCAGCCGAGCATCAGGTGCACCGGTGTGCACCGCGCACGAAATTGGTGCCCCACGTAAAGTTGCCATATGATGCCTGTAAGTTGAGTGTTGTTCATTACTGATGGAGTACGCAACGCCAGCGATGTATCGCGTGGGTGGCTGCCTGCGTGCGCTGACTTGAAAGATGCCACTCCGGCCAATCAGAAACTAAGGTAGTGCCAACACACGAGTGAAACGAGATTGATATCCCTTGCGCTTCGGTGGGAAACCGGTAGTATGGGGATAAGGGGGAATGTGGGGGTTCGGTGGTGCATGTATCCCCTGTACAGAGGAAACTCAGTATCCTGGAAAGAAACCCTGGCGCACCAGGATGACCCTACACAAAAACTCTGACAAGTCAGAGAACAAGTAACTCTAAAAAAATTTACCCAGAGGGTACAGAGTGCCCTACCAAAAACCACTCTGATTTTCAGAGAAACAGAGTAAATAACACTGATAAAATATGCCCTGGTCCTAC